TTTGGTATGGTGAGGATGGACAACACCAGTTCTTCCAAGATCGTGGGAATTGGTGATATTCAGATAAAAACAAATATTGGTTGTACATTGGTATTGAAGGATGTCCGACACGTGCCCGACCTTCGGCTAAATCTACTTTCTGAGATAGGCCTTGACAGACAGGGCTATGATAACCATTTTAGCAAAGGTACATGGAAGCTCATGAAAGGTGCTATGGTTGTCACCCAAGGACATATTTGTGGCATGCTTTATAAGACCCATGTGAAGGTTGGCTCAAATAGCCTCAATGCAGTTGAAAATGAGGCTTCACCAAATCTGTGGCACTAGAGACTCGGCCACATGGGGGAAAAAGGATTGTTTATTTTGGCAAAGAAGGATCTTATCATAGTTGCCAAGGATGTTGCACTAAATTCTTGTAATCATTGCTTGTTTGGTAAACAACATCGAGTCTCATTTAGTTCCTCTATGAAGAGGAGATCAGAGTTGTCAAGCCTAGTACACTCTGATGTTTGCGGTCCCTTGGAGGTGGAATCATTGAGTGGCAACAGATATTTTTTGACCTTTATTGATGATGCTTCACAGAAGGTATGAGTGTACTTCCTAAAGACGAAGAATCAAGTACTCGAATGCTTCAAAAGATTTCATGTCATGGTAGAGTAGGAAACAAGAACGAAATTAAAGTATCTCCGAACAGACAATGGAGGCGAATATACTTCAAGAGAGTTTAAAGCATACTGTGCAAATTATGGTATCAGACATGAGAAGATTGTTCCACGTACCCCACAGCACAATAGAGTAGTGGAGAGGATGAATCGAACCATTGTGGAAAGAGCCCGATGCGTGCTTAGTATGGCAAAGTTGCCGAAGCCATTTTGAGGTGAAGTTGTTCATGCCGCATGTTATCTGATAAATAGATCACCGTCAGTACCATTGAATTTTGATATTCCAGAGAAGGTGTGGTATGGTAGGAATCCTTCCTATTCTCACTTAAGAATTTTTGTGTGCAAAGCATTTGCACATGTATCCAAGGAGCAAAGGCAGTATAGGCTACGAAGATGAAAATTTTGGATACAGATTGCGGGACCCAAAGGCCAAAAGGATCATCAGGAGCAGAGACGCAGTGTTCCATGAAAACCAAGCGTATGAGGACTTTGAAAATCCTACAAAGTCTAGCAGTTCTAGTTCCAGTGCACAGGACATTGTTCCAGACCCTGCACTATTACAGTTCACCACAGATAATGACGAAGTGCAGGATGAAGTTATAGAAGCAGAGCAAGATGATGATGAAGATGTTGAGCAGGGGGAGTAACAACCCCCTCCACCAGATGTTGCAGGACCATCACATCAACCAGAGGCTGGTGTACCTCATATAGCTGATGAGCCTTAATCATGAAGATTCGAAAGAGGGCGCATTTCGTCGAGTAGATATCTGGAGTCAGACTATATTCTGCTTACTGATGAGGGGGAGCCGAAGAACTTCCATGAGGCATAAGCTCATACGGATAAAGACAAGTGTATGCAAGCCATGCAGGATGAGATGGATTCTCTGCAGACAAATCAAACCTATGAGCTTGTGAAACTTCCAAAAGGCAAGAAAGCACTGAAGAATAAATGGGTGTTCAAGTTGAAGAAAGACAATCGTGGAAAATTGGTGAAGTATAAGGCTCGATTGGTCGTTAAAGGATTCCAACAGAAGAAAGGAATTGACTTTGACGAGATTTTCTCACCAGTTGTTAAGATAACCTCAATTCGAGTCATTCTCGGATTAGTAGCCAGTTTAAACTTGGAGCTTGAACAAATGGACGTGAAAACTGAATTTCTTCATGGAGATCTGAATGAAAAAATCTATATGGAACAACCAGAAGGTTTCGAGGTTCCAAGAAAGGAGAATCTAGTCTGCAAGTTGAAGAAGAGTCTGTAACCCAGACAGTGGTATAATAAATTTGACTCATTCATGGCGAGTCAAGGTTACATGAGGACTGTTGCAAATCAATGTGTTTATGTTTAGAAATTCTCGGATGGTAATTTCGTTGCACTCCTACTTTATGTTGATAACATGTTGATCGTTGAAAATGATGCAATAAAGATTAGCCAGTTAAAGAAAGAACTCTCTAAGTCCTTTGACCTGAAGGACTTAGGCCCAGCTCAATAGATACTAGGCATGTAGATTGTTCGTGATAGGAAANCCAGTTAAAGAAAGAACTCTCTAAGTCCTTTGACCTGAAGGACTTAGGCCCAGCTCAATAGATACTAGGCATGTAGATTGTTCGTGATAGGAAAACTAAGAAATTGTGGCTATCACAAGAGAAATACATTGAACGGGTGATCCAAAGGTTCAACATAGATACTGCCAAGCTAGTCAGTATCCCACTGGCTAATGATTTCAAGCTGAGCAAGAATTCCTGTCCCTCATTAAAGAAGGAGATAGAAGATATGACAATCATTCCTTACTTTTCAGCAGTTGGGAGTCTAATGTATGCAATGGTGTGTACAAGGCCAGATATTGCCCATGTAGTGGGCATGGTGAGCAGATTTCTTTCCAATCCAGGAAAAGAACACTAGGAGGCGGTCAAGTGGATTATCAGATACCTTAAGGGTACATCGAAGATATGCTTGTGTTACGGGAGAGTTGAACCAGTTTTGGAAGGCTATACAGATTTAGATATGGCAGAAGATCTTGATGGTAGAAAATCTACATTAGGATTGTTTTACACTTTTGCTGGGGGAGCTGTGTCATGGGAGTCAAGGTTGCAGAAGTGCATAGTTTTATCCACAACAGAGGCAGAGTATATTGCAGCAACGGAAGCTAGTAAGGAAATGTTGTGGTTAAAGCGGTTTCTCTAAGAACTAGGTATTAAGCAGAAGGAATACAAGGTGCATTGTGATAGTCAAAGTGCTCTGGACTTGAGCAAGAACTCAATTTACCATTCCCGGATGAAACATATTGACATTCGCTATCATTGGATACGCAAAGTGATGGAGCAACAATTATTGAAACTAGTGAAGATCCACACAAAGGAGAATCCAACAGACATGTTGACAAAAGTCGTTACTTGGGATAAGCTTGAGTTGTGCAGAGACATAAACATAATGAATGTTTGATTACATTCTCTTCTGATGGTTTTGGAGAGGGAGATTTGAAGGTTCTAGCTCCATCAGAGGCTATCCAGTAGCCCACTTTAGTACCTAGCAGCAGCCCACTCTAGTAGCCACCCTACTGATGGCTTACCGGCAAACTGCTTGACGGCGGACGGTTGAAGCTTTGACAAAACTTGCCAAAGCCTTAAATGTGTTCCCTCTTCCTTGACTTATGTGGCCAGAAAANGAAGAAGCCCAGTTCTTCTAGCAACTTTGTTATTCCAAAAGTTATGGGTGCTACTAGAATCTATTTATAAAGTAGGTGTATGCTTTTCCAATTGACCTTTTTACCCGCTTTGTTTGAGTAGCTTGAGCACCAGAAATGGCGTGAAGCGAGATTGTTGGTACCTCTTCTTCAAGCTAAGTTTGGATGGTGTGAACCCTTTAATATGAGGAAGATGGGTGGTGCTTGCTATATTTCTTGGGACTAAAGGGTGAGCCAAGCCAACAACAGTGGATAGAGAGACTGGTAGTGATGCTTGAACATTTGCTCTAATAGTCTCCTTAAGGCCACTCATAAAATAAGCAACTTGCTATTTATTAGATATCTTTCCAGACCTTGCAAGTAACTTAGCGAATTAAGAATAATAATCACACACCAGACCCGTTTGCTTCAACTTGGTGAGACCACCAAAGAAATTTTCAAATTGGGTAGGTCCATATTGAACATGAATTTCTCACTTAATAATATACCAAGTCAAGGTTTCATTTTCTTCTTTGAGTAGTTGAAACCGAAGTTGAGCATCACCTTCTAAAGGCAGCTAATGGGACATGGTCCTCTATTAAGGTCTATTGAAACTGAAAAAATTATTTTGCATTACATAACCAGCTGGTTGGATCTTCAGTGCAATTGAAGCGAGGCAAATCAAGTTTGGCGATCTTGGGTGCAAATGACCCATTGGTTCCTCCGGGGTTGCTCCTATGGTGATTGCTATTTTTGCTTGCTTCATTATGGTGATAGTGTTGTCCTANTTTGGCGATCTTGGGTGCAAATGACCCATTGGTTCCTCCGGGGTTGCTCCTATGGTGGTTGCTATTTTTGTTTGCTTCATTATGGTGACAGTGTTGTCCTAATTTGATATTGACAATTTATGTGCAAGTATACACGATCAACAAGTAATAAAATGATAAATAGAGTATCGTTCCCACGGAGAAATATTGCTAATAACTTTCAAGTACTAACTTTATATTAATTATATTTTATTTAAACAATTGGAATTAAATTATGAATTCACTAACTAAAAACTAAACTTAAATTTAACAATCAAGGGTTGAATTTACTAGATAAAAGAAATTAAGATTACAACTTCCCCTAATGTTTCGTATAAACCTTTCTAACTCTTTTTTGTTAATTGATCAAAATAAGTTGTTAACTGAGAACTCAAAGTATTTATCAAACCTCTTCTGATAGTTAGATAAAATTATCTCTCCCAATTAAATTACTATATTCCTATGCAAAATAATTTGGAATAGATTCATTAAGTTCAAAGTCTGTTGAAAGTTACACACGACATATAAGTATATTCCTATGCTATACACAAACCTAGCAATTCAATCCTAAGAAGAATTAACCAGACGTATGTCATCATATTCGAATCTAAACCTAGAATTCATCTTCCAATTTCATTTAGGTTATCAAATTGATTGGTGGCCACACAATCATATATTAATCACAAAATATGACAAACAACTTATGTATGATCAACATTACTAGAAACGAGAGTAGATCAATTTAACTAGACATTAGGTTCCGTTGCAATCTTAATAAAGATTTAGTTCATAATGTAATTGAAAGACATCATTCTAAAATTAAACAACATTTTAGAAAATCAAGAAGTAAAAGTAAGAGAAAAGANAATGTGTCAGGGGTCTACCATAGCATCCAATGCAATATCTTGACCCCTTAGCCTAAGGAACTCAATTAGACCATCTTGGACATGTGACTGCTCACTATATTGAGCCATCTTTCTTTCCTGAACCAAAGATCCAAACTGCTTTCTAACCAACTTAAAGCTTGTATCATTCTTTGGAAAATAAGGTTGTCCATTAGCCTCTGCTTCAGTCCTGTATATCTCATAGGCTTCATTACTGAGAGCATCAAGATCTGGCTCAATGAACTAGCTCCCTGGTGCATATTCATCTTCAAGTTCAGCTAAAAATGTAACCTTCTACCTCTCCAAATTAGAAATCTTCTGTCTCAAATCCAAAATTTGCTAATCATACTTCCAGCGAATCTACTCAATAGCCATTGTGAAATCTTGTAATTGATGGGTTATAATCTGTATTCATGCAAGTTCACTTGGAGAGGGTTCTCCATGAGTTTTCTTTTGAAGCTTCAAAGCCTTGTATACCTGCTTAACAACCATCTGACACTCTGAAGTTTTCAACCAAGTGCAGGAATCCGCAAAGTCCCTAACACTCATCCTCCTTGGGACATTCAACTTACACACCCTTATACCTTTCTTCACAATCTCATTGAGCACAACATTTTTTTATGAGCAACAAAAATCCTTGCTAACTTGTAGAAAGCATTAGTAGTCAGACCTATAGTATTAAAAACTTGTACAGTAAACTGTTTGATGTCCAAAATTATCCTGCAATATATTTCTTCATGACGACTCTTCTCTCCAATGAGTGTTCATTTTTTCAACCTCTTGCTAAATCTAATGAATAGGTTGTCTAGTTAACATTGAACTACAAATCAAATTTCCAAGAAAAAAAAATTCAACTAAACTAATATTGTCCAGCGAATTTGTTTGTAGTTGCAAAGACAATTGATTTAAATTATCTGCTGCTATGACTTCTTGGATGCTACAGTAATATTCTCACACTGTAACTAAACCAAATCAACAAAATTAAAATTTTAATATTTCAAAAAATTGATTTAATTGACATTTTTATCGTTTCGGTGTCTATTTTGCACTATTCAAATATTTAAAAAATATGAACATTGGCAAGGAGAAAGCGATGCAAATAAGGAAAAAAAATTGATAGTTGGTTTAGAATATTATTATTATTATTATTTTTTTTTGCAATTAGTTTCACTTATTTTTTTATTGGTAATTAGCTTGAATTTGAATTTTTTAGTTTTTTTGGTGCAATTGATATCACTTGTTATTTTTTATTAGTGATTAGCTTGACTTTGAATTTTTTTTATTTTTTTGATGCAATTGGTATTCACTTGTTATTTTTTATTGGTGATTACATTGACTTTGGATTTTTTTTATTGGGGATTAGCTTGACTTTGAATATTTACAACCTGAGAATTTTTTTTAATATTTAAATAATTTCTCATTTATAAAATCATACATATGTTTTGAATAAATAAGTCTAATTAGGATCGTCAACACAAACAAATAATGCTAAGAGAGAAAATATGAGATAACATTGTTTGTCTTGACGATCCTAATTATATAAATATACTAGTAATGCACCACGTGCGTTGTATGTGACTAATTTTTTTTAAAAAAATTAGTACAAAAATATTTGGTATATGTGTACTTGAATTAAATATCATCTCAAATTTACCAAACTTATTTTTTCATCACTCATGCTCCATTATAGAATTTTAAAAAAATTTTGTATCTAAAAAAAAAAGAAAATAAATATTTAAAGTTCTATTTTTTTCTATAATTTTGTAATTGAAAATATTTTTTAGTGATGTTTGAAAATTAAAATTTTTAAAATTAATTTGATTAAGATTCCACGTATCAATCATTGAACAAAATAAAAATAATTATCAATATACCAATATTATTGGAACCTTACTATATTTAGAATTAGTTAGGTCAATTGAGATAAAATTTAATATACAACGCTATAATATATATTATAAAGCAGATTAAAATTTTAAAAAAAATTCTAATTTTCACATAAAATCTTAACACAGTTTAAAAAGTTTAATGTAACTAAAAAATCACGTAAAACTATATATATATATATATTAGTTTTTACCTTAAAAATAAAATGGTTTTGATAAAAAATAAAATATACATATGTAGTCATAATATTATCTTTATAAATGAGATGAATAATATTATATTGATAGAGTTTTTTAAGGTTTTTTTTTGAATATTTTGTTAAAATTTATAATAATGCATATATTTTTTAAGAGTAATATAATCAATCAAAAAGTTTTATAAAAAATGACATTTATAAATAGAGAATAGATAATTAAAAAATTAATTTGATTAAAATTTCACNCCCTAAACCCTAATATTATATTAATGGAGTTTTTGATGGTTTTTTTTTAATATTTTGTTAAAACTAATAATAATGCATATATTTTTGAAGAGTAATATAATAAGTCAAAAAGTTTCATAAAAATTGACATTTATAAATAAAGAATAAATAATTAAAAAATTAATTTGATTAAGATTTTACTTGTAAATCGTNAATAATTAAAAAATTAATTTGATTAAGATTTTACTTATAAATCATTTAATAAAATAAAAATAATTATCAATAAATTAATCATATTGGAACCTTACTGTATTAAGATTATCTAGGTCAATTGTGATAAAATTTAATATACAATGCTATAATCTATATAATAAAGTAGAGTTGAGTTTGAATCCAAGAGACAAAGAGTGGTTCAGATCGTTTTGAGACAAAACATAAGCACATCTGACGGACAATGTAATCTCAACATAAAAGACGATTCAGATCATTTCAAAAATTTTGATCTAACGGTATATTGTGATTACCGAAATTAGTTTCCCCGCCCAACAAATTTCCTGTTTTAATTATAAGGGCTTTTTGCTTGACTGACGCCCCTGTCTCCTCTTANTCAAAAATTTTGATCTAACGGTATATTGTGATTACCGAAATTAGTTTCCCCGCCCAACAAAATTCCTGTTTTAATTATAAGGGCTTTTTGCTTGACTGACGCCCCAGTCTCCTCTGATTCCCCCATATCTTCCCCTAAAATCTCTCTCAGAATCCTTCTCAATTTCATCCTCTGCCTTCCAAACTCATCCCCCAAAATCTTTCCCTGCNTCCCCTAAAATCTCTCTCAGAATCCTTCTCAATCTCATCCTCTGCCTTCCAAACTCATCCCCCAAAATCTTCCCCTACTCATCCCCAAAATCTCCAAAATCTCTCATGCCCAGCTCATCCCCAAAATCTCTTACGCCGAGGTATCTCAGTAATTGCTCTAACAATTTGTCTCCTCCCTTTCTCTCTGGAGTCCAACTCCGGCGACCCAAATATTCCAACATTCACCACAACTCTCACCATGCTTTTCCTAAACCCTATTTTTTTTAAAAAAAAAAAAAGGAGGATATATTGAAATGAGCAAAAATTACAAGAAGCAAGGAAGCCAGGCTTTNGAAAAAAAGGAGGATATATTGAAATGAGCAGAAATTACAAGAAGCAAGGAAGCCGGGCTTTAACAAAAACAAGGAAGCCAATGTGGCATAAACCATCAAAAAAGAAAAGGACATAAAATGGGACATGAAGGCCAGCAAAAGCCAGCTGAGAGTCCAGCTGAAGATCCAGAAAATTCAGCTGGAGGAAAGCTGGAAACCCAAGAGACAGCAACTGCGAGATGATGAAAACCATGAGGAATGAACATAAGCCCAGAACCAACACAGCAACTGAGAGCCCGCTGAGAACAAATCCCCAGCTGACTGCCGAAGGAAGCAGCAACAGAGAAACCCATAGCAGCAGACCAATAGCCAGCGTCAAGCAGATGAAAGAACCACTGAGAGACCATGAGAAAATCAGCAAAACCAGCTGAAGAAAAAGAGACCAAAGGCGGCCAGCAGCAGCGACAAGAAAGCTGTGCACATGAACCATTGACACCATCAAAACAGCACAGCAATCACAGCAGCAAGTGGAGCCCATAAGAACCAGCAGAGAACCACAAAGAAATCATGGAAAACCAGCTGGAAACCCGTTGAGACCAGCTGGAAATCCAACTGAAAACCCTCTGAGCAGAACCGTGGAAAGCCTTCAATGTTTACCAAAGATAAAATCTGATAAAACCAGTTGTAGAAACAAAATGAGTCATGATCCCCAGCTGAAATCAGCACAAAATCCAGCTGAGATCCAGAAAAAACCAGCTGAAAGAGCCCATCAGTAGCCGCAAACAGGTTGTCCATGTGAACAGTAGCGTGAACAGTGTGTCATGACCAAAACCAGTTGAAAACCATCTGAAAATCACCCACAACAGCTGCAATATCAGTAGAGGTCAGCAGAGAAAAACCGCCAGCAGCAGGAAGCAGACTGTTCACGTGAACAGTCGCGTGAATAGTATTCCCTGACCAAAAACAGCAAAAAAGCCACCGGAATGTCCCCCCAGCTGCATTTAATGTACAAATGTTGCCAAAGCTTCCCAGCAGGGTAAAGGAAGCAAACACACCAGCTGCGAGAAGCCAAGCAATGAGAAACAAAAGCCCCAGCCCGATTGGATGATTCATAAGTAAAAACCAAAGAATCAAAAATTAGTAAACTTTTTCCTTGACGTTTTAACACCTTGTTGATCCTGGATCTGAATTAATTTTGCCCGGAAAGGAATCTTCAAATCACGTGTGAAATCCGAAGAGGCACCCTCCAAAACAGCAAGGTTTGCAAGACAGTCAGCTAAGCAATTTGCTTCCCTGTATACATGAGCCAAACTAAAATTCATGCCCTTCAATAACTCCATGATCTCATCACAAATCTTCCAAAACTTCCGGGCCCTCATGTGCCCTTTCATCACCATTTGGACCATCACCGCTGAATTAGTTTCAATCAGAAGGCCACAGTCTAACAGCCCATAACTTCTAAACAACAATAAACCATCCTTGAGTGCATAAAGCTCAACCTCCATGTTTGAACAAACCTCATAGAAAAAAGAAGCAGCCAAGACAATGTGCCCCCATTCATTCCTTACCACAGCTCTAGCCCCAGCTCTTCCAGGATTTTCTTTCGATGCCCCATCCACATTTAGCTTTAAAAAACCGGAGGGAGGAGGGGACCAGTTAATCCAAATAATTTTTGGTTCCAGTTCCTGCCTCATCTCCACCTTTAAGGCCCTCAAAAGATCCATCTCCATCATGCCTTCCTTTGCCTTGGGACAANTTGGAATCAAACACAAGGAGTGTGGAGTTAACAGATCTTGGAATCACTCCCCCACTCAAGAAAAAATTAACCGCCTCCAAAAGGTCGCTTTTAACAATATCTCATGCTACTTGAAAGAATCTACCAGAAAAACCGTCAGCGCCAGGGACGCTTTCCACAGACATAGAAAAGACAACATGTTTCACTTCGGTTAAGGTAGCAGTCATAGTCAAGATCTCGTTAGCCGCTGGTCCAACAAGTTTAGGAATAACCCCAAATAGCTCTTCATCAAGCCCATGGTCCTCTGACATGTACANATCAACCTCATCATACGAACCATGGGAGATTCAGCCGAGAAAATCTGAAATCCACAAAAGGCAGCAAGCTTCCCCCAAACCTCTTTAGTATAGTTGCATTGTGTGAATAGGTGAGTCGTAGTTTCCACTTCCTGATGGCATACAGGGCATCTACTGGCCAATTCAACGCCAATACGTTGGAAATTTGAGTCCACCACCACAGCTTTCATATGTATCTTCCATCCCAGCAGTTTTGCACTTGGAAAGACAGATTGGTTCTAGATCGCAGAGGTTATAGGCACAGGGTTATTTGAAGTTCTCACCGCCTGCCAAGCTGATTTGACATTGAACTCTCCCGACTCGGTTAATTTCCATATCAATCGATCTTCTTTGCCACATAAACGAATCCCAGAGTTATGGATTTCGTGCTTTAATTGCTCAGAAATCTGGACTCCCAATAACTGCCACTACCAGTCCCCTCTTGCCCATATCGCATCTAGACTTAGAAAGCTCGAGGGGGAGACATCGTGCCTGAGCAATAAAGGGCCAGATCCTGCCCAGTTCGTGCACCAAAAATCCACAGACTTCCCGTTTCCCACCAAAACCTAGGAGTTCTCCATAACCAAGCAAAAGAAAGGTTGCAGCATTCGAAATGTACGAGCTTTTGCAGTGCCCAGACATCATAACATGTGTTTGCCTTTTAAGAATTTTGCTCTAAACATGTTCGCCCAAAGAGAGTCACCCTTTAGAATTCCCCATACCTGCTTCCATCGAAAAGCAGTTTGGATGTCCTCAAATTTACGAATTCCAAGCCCCCCTCTTGCTTGGGTCTTAAAATATCTTGAAACTCAATGCCTTTTCCTCTCCCCCATCCTGCCTGACCAAATAAAGGAGGCCATCAAAGACTTCAACTTGACCAGGATGCCTTTGGGCACCCTAAGACAAGAGAGCAAGTGAATAGGGACTGCACTGAGGACCGATTGAACCAATACAATTCTGCCCATGTTTGATAGCAAGCATGCATACCACCCTTCCAATTTAGCCTTGAATTTTAGAACCACTTCCTCAAAATCCCGGAGTTTATATCTTCCTCTAATTATGGGGCAGCCTAGGTAGGTGAAGGGGCATTGTTTAATTGGAATTTGTGCAATTTTGGAAAGTGTCATTCTCCTGACCAGGGGAATTTTGGAGGAGCAGATTAAGGAACTTTTCTGCTTGCTTATTCTCTGACCAGAGCACTCCTCGTATCTTGCCAAAAATCTCACCATTTGTTCCATGGATAGTTTATTCCCCCTAAGAAACAACAGAGTGTCATCTGCAAAAAGAGGATGAGAAATAAGAAGAGCACCCCTCCCTGCATGAAAAGCCTTGATTCTGCCTTCACCATACAGCTTCATCAAGCCCCTGCTTAACACTTCCTTGGCCAAAATAAAGAGAGCAGGTGAGATTGGGCCACCTTGTCTCAACCCTCTAGACGAAGAAAAATTGCCAAATATTTTCCCATTCAAGCAGACCGAGAAGAATTGGTTCTTTAGGAAGTTACCAATGATGGAAACAAATAAGTTTGAAAAACCAAAACAGCCCAAACTTCTTTCCAAAAAGTCCCACACCAATGCGGTCATATGCCTTCATCATATCCAATTTAAGAATCACGTTGCCTGCTTCGACTTTTCTATCAAGCTCGCCCACCATTAACTGTGCTAAAGAAATACAATCCCCAATCCCTCTCCCTTTGACAAAACCGTGTTTTGCATTTGAGATCAGAGACGGAATGAGAGCCACAAGTCTATTGGATAGGACCTTCGTGAAGACTTTGTACAAAAAATTGCATAGGCTTATGGGCCTAAAGTCTGTGAAAGAGCAAGGCTTCATCACTTTTGGAATCAAACACAAGGAGTGTGGAGTTAACAGATCTTGGAATCACTCCCCCACTCAAGAAAAAATTAACCGCCTCCAAAAGGTCGCTTTTAACAATATCCCATGCTACTTGAAAGAATCTACCAGAAAAACCGTCAGCGCCAGGGACGCTTTCCACAGACATAGAAAAGACAACCTGTTTCACTTCGGTTAAGGTAGCAGTCATAGTCAAGATCTCGTTAGCCGCTGGTCCAACAAGTTTAGGAATAACCCCAAATAGCTCTTCATCAAGCCCATGGTCCTCTGACATGTACAGTTTAGCAAAAAAGGTTGTGGCCTGTTGAGAGATCTCCTCCTCAGAGTCACACCATTCACCATCTTCACCTTTAATCCTCATCAGTCTGTTCCTCACAGCCTTCCCTTTGGCCAAAGCATGAAAGAACTTGGTATTCCTCTCCCTGTGTAGTGCCCATTTTATGTTAGCTTTTTGTCTCCAGTACAATTCTTCCAACCTAAGTGTTTCCTCTAGATTCTTTCTTGCAGAGTAGTTATCATCCACAGAACGTTCTGCCTCTCGCAAAGCCAATTCCTGCATACTAATCTTTTCAAAAATGTTCCCAAACACCTCCTTGTTCCATTTTTTGATATTAAACTTTAGCATTTTTAGTTTGAGGAAGAAGTTCTCAGCGTTAGCAAACATTCTGTCCAGCCGTTGCCACATTCTCGAATTAGCCCCTCCGATTGAATACAGTCCCCAAATTCATCCATTGCCAACACAGATGGAGAGGCACCCCCCCATTCTTTCATTTGACCTCATCACAATGTTAAAATCCCCCATCACCAACCAGGGCATAGCAAAGGATGTAGAAATAACCTGTAAGTGTCCCCAAAAGGGCCTCCTTAACAAGTAAGTCACAACAACCATACACCACCGTAACTAACACTGGATCAGCTCCCTGGTAGGAGACTGACACGGTCATAGCTTGTTCAAAGTGCAGCATGCTCTTAACTTCCAAGTTATCATTCCATAAAAGCCACATATTTTTCTCTGCCTTTGTGTTTGCCATAAAAGAATTTAACCCAACAGCAAGACCAAAATTCCTTAGTTTGGTATGGGACATTTTTGGTTCAATAACAGCGAGAAGACTCACCTTATTCATTACAATTAATTTCTTTAATTTGCTTCTTAGGCTCTCTTTTCCAGCACCCCTTACATTCCACATTAGGAAATTCATCATAAAGAATTTGTTTCATCATTACCTCTGGGACTATGCCCAGTACTGCAGTCGGAGTAGTTCACTGTTGTTTGGTTTAGCAAGATAATTCCTTGATCTTCATTTACAGTGGCATCTTCACTTGAATCAGCCCAATTTTTTGAGCTTTCTTGATCAGAGTAAAAGCCCCTGTCTGGTGGTTCTTTATCCCTCCTGAGTCCACTTTCGTCATCCACGGTGTAATTTTGTCTGCCTCTTAGCTCATACAGATGATCCATAAAGAAAGAAGATGATGTAGGTGAATGAGATTGTTTATTTAACGAGCACATTACTGTACCTGCCATCTGTTGCACCTCTTTAGACCCTTCCGCCTGAGGTTGAGAAAATAGAGCATTATCCATACCGTTCTGTATACCCTTTTCACCTCTTTCGGGAGATACCTCCATTAATGACATTTCTTTCTCCTTTTCTGCGCCCTGTAACCTCTCCTCATCCGGTGTTACAGTAACCAAATCCTCCTTGTTTTTTGCCTCAGAACTTACAACAGTGCTTTTTTAAGTAAATGAATCCCCGTTATGATTTTGCGTTTCATCCTTTCCCTCCTCTGCGACATCCTTGCCCGAATGCTCTCCTCTTAACACATTAAATTTATTGGCATCCTCCTCTCCTCCTACATCTAAATTTATAGGATTCTAGAAATTGTGGTGCTTGGTGACCCTCTTTCACGGTTACTTTGGAATTCACTTTTTTGTGACTTTCTGCCATGCCTTATCTTTCCCCTTAAGGTCCTCATCTTTTTTCGAGATGCCAGCTTTCTGCTTTCTTTCCTCCTTAGGGTTGTATGCCTGTTTGTCCACTTTGTTTTCCTCTTCCCTTTTGCCTTTACGACACTCGAGCATCCCATGGCCTTCTTTCAAACACCCAGCACAATACTTCACCAATTTTTCATAATTAATCTTTTGCCAACGCCCACTTGTTCCGCCAAAATCCAGCCAAAGACGAGATGGGTTATCAGCTAATAAATTAACTTCGACACATACGCTAGCCACACCTGGCCTAGATAATAGGAGGGTGGGTGAGTCAATTACAAGGATTCTCCCGATGGGACTCAAAATGTCCCGAAGGCTCTCCTTATCAAAGAGGTGAATTGGCAAACCTGGGAGAGAAATCCAAATAGGAACCACTGGTGGTTCAATCCCAGGCAGGAACTCCGAAAACCACTTGAAGAACCTGAACAAGAAGCCCTCGATGTGTGTTGCATCTGTGAAACTCGGGAAAATTTGAACTTTTTCTTAGAAAGGGTAAAATGGTAATTTGTCATCCTAATGCGTATTTAAAATACTCATGTTCTAGACCTCGGTTGAGGAAACGAAGTTCGCCGTTGGATTCGTATCGCAAAATCTAATCACCCTGTCAAATTTCGTCGAATTTCGAGATAGACGAATTTTTGCACGTTGTTCAAGGCAACTACGAGGCGAATGACATTTTAAAGGTCCCCAAAAATGAATTTTTTAATTTTTTTCTTAAAATCAAGTTAAAGTTCCAATACAATTAATTTTAACTAAATCTGAGGTATAACAAATCGTTTCGGAACGAAAAACGGACCCGGAAGTCTGAAATATGCGGTGCGATGTGGACCACACATTCAGGACTATAAATACCTACTTGACTTAAATATTTTGGAAAAAATATCTCATGTTCTTGACCCTTGGCCGGCCATAGAGAGAAGAGAATGAAAAGAGAGAAAAACAAGTAAGTTCTTCAAGCTTCAATCCAAGATTCTCGGAGTTTCGTCGGTCGGAATTCGTCGAGTCAAGAATCAAAGTTCATCTCCTCGACGAGAGTTACGTGTACGTACCAAGAAAAGTGGATTTCACCGAAGGTGCAAAGAAAAGACTTTGGAGGAATCAAAGGTTCTTGGGCTTGTTTTGGTGTTTTTTAGAAGTTCTACCACTTCTTACACGCTACAAGAGGTAGGGTTCGCTCCTACCTTGGTTTTATTCTTACCTTAAGTGGGCTTTTAGTGGCTGAAAATGGTTTATATGTGGGCTGTCCAAATAGACTGTTAAGGGGCTGAATTTTGGACTGTTAAGGGGCTGAATTACGGACTATTTTGGTGCTGAAATTGGGGTTGTTTTGTGCACTAATTAGGGGCTGTATACAGACTGTTTTTGGGGCTGTTTTAAGGCCTA